CTTTGTACATCACATTTTCATTGAAAATGACGTCTCTGCTTCTGATGATCTTTCGATTTTCTTAGTCCCAAAACCGGTAACCGAACTCATCACCGCCATAACCAAAAAAGGCACATTTTTTGGACTTAACATCAAGTTTACTTCTTTCAGCAGAGTCTATGTATACATAAGAAATACAACCAAACACTCTTAAGTGTGAAAGGTTTATTTCTTTCTTGCTTCAAGCTTCCTCTGGTATTCCGCCATCCAAAGGAACAGAGGGCCCATGGTTGATCAGGTAAGCTGCAGTGTTGATAGCTTCAGCCCATAGAAATTTGGGCAATCCGGCATGTATCCTCATGCTTCTAGCACGTTCATTCAGAGTTCTGTTCATGCGCTCTGCTATGCCATTCTGCTGCGGTGTTATGGGAACTGTTTTCTCCATCTTAATCCCATTGTTTGCGCAGAAATCTCTGAATATACTGTCTCTATACTCTCCTCCATTGTCAGACCTCAACCTCTTGACTTTCAAACCAGTCTCATTTTCCACCATGGCCTTCCATTTTCTGAAGGTATCAAAGACTTCTGATTTCTTCTTCAGAAAATAAACCCACACCTTCCTTGTTGAATCATCGATGAAGGTGACATAATATAGTGAGCCTGCAAGAGATGGAACTGGGGATGGTCCCCATACATCAGTATGAATCAATTCTAACCTTTCTGCCTTGGGTGCCTTGCCAATCTTTGCAAAATTGACTTTCTTTTGTTTGCCAAAGATGCAATCCTCGCATAGTCCGACATCCACATTCTTTAGATCCGGCAGCTTCCCTTTTGACAGAAGTATCTTCATTCCTTTCTCGCTCATATGGCCAAGCCTTTGGTGCCATAGGTTTGATTTTCCATCAGCATCTGCTACTGCAATGATATTCTCTAAATTTGAGGTTACATAGAGAGTACCAGTCTTCTTACCACGAGCAATGACGAGTGCTCCTTTGATAATCTTCCATTCACAACCTGAAAAGGTTGTACTATATCCTTCTCCATCAAGCTGTCCAACAGAAATCAGATTTCTTTTGAGGCCAGGAATATGTCTCACTCCTGTTAGCTTCCAGGTGGTCTGGTTTGGCAGCTTTAGTCGGATATCTCCTTTTCCGACGATCTTCAAGGTTTCATCATCAGCAAGATGAACCTTCCCAAAATCACCACTGATATAGTTCTCCATGATTTCTTGGCATGGGGTGGAGTGGAAAGATGCCCCTGAATCCAAGATCCATGATTCAATCGGACTGTTGACGCTTAGAATCATGGCATCACCTGTCTCCTCTGTCACGTTGGCAGATTCCTGTGCACCAGTATCTTTCTTCAGTGCTCGGCAATCTCTTTTAAAATGACATTTCTTGCCACAATTATAACAGGTAAAATCTTTCTTTCCCGTTCTGGATTTTTCCCGTCTGGATTTGGATCTGCCACGATTTGAATTTCTTTCTGAAGTTCTCCCTCTGGACTCCGTGTGCAATGCTGAGGAGGTTGATGCTTCACCCGATTCTCTCCGTCGAATTTCTTCGCTCAGTACCAGATCCCGAACATCGTCGAATTTCAATTTACTATTTCCCGACGAGCTGCTAACTGTTGTAACAGTAGCATTCCAACTGTCTGGTAGAGATGATAAGAGAATTAAAGCTCGAACTTCATCATCGAATTCAATTTCCACATAACTCAACTGGGTTGTGATTGTGTTGAGTTCATTCAGGTGTTGAGCCACTGATGCCCTTTCCGTCATCCGCAAATTGAATAATCGCCTCATCAAGTGAACTTTGTTTGAGGCCGATGGCTTCTCATACATACTGGAGAGAGCTGCCATAAGACCTGTCGTGGTCTTTTCCTTTGCTATGTTGAAAGCAACATTTCGGGACAACGTCAGTCGGATAACTCCGAGGGCTTGTCTGTCGAGAAGAGCCCAGTCTTCATTCTTCATGCCCTCTGGTTGCTTTCCTGAAAGAGGTTGATATAGATTTTTCTGGTACAGAAAATCTTCAATCTGCATCTTCCAAAAGCCAAAGTCCGTACCATCGAACTTTTCAATTTTCACCTTCCCTTCGTCTGCAGCCATCGCTCCCACTCGAATCTGGCTTCGTTTGGATCGTTTCTGACAATTTCTGCGAACCGCCGTGTATTAGAACACCTCCGTCGACAAACTCGTATCGCCGACCGAATTTCACTATTCACGAAATTCACTATTCACTTGAATAGTAATGAATAGTAACCTCGCAGAAAATTGACAAAATTCACAACCAAAAGCTCTGATTACCAGTTGTTAGGAAATAAACCAAGTACAAGTAATTTCCCTATAACCAGATTAGTGAGAATACGAAATAAAAGCGGAAAAATAATACCCGAAATTTGATAACGGAGTTCAGCCAATTTGTGCTTACGTCTCCGGACTGCTGCAGATCTTTTATTAAGAGAAAATTTACAGGTGTTTACACAACACACTTGAGAGAGAACTAGAAGATTTTGGGATGATTTTGAAGCTAAATGAGCTAGGGTATTTATAGTTGAAACTTAGGACTAAACTTGTAATTAACCCTATAAAAAATACCCCTTAGCAGCCCATGTTTTTTTTTTTTTTTTAATTAAGCAGCCGCCGGCTGCTAAATTTTCTTTGACCAACAGGTTCGAAGGGTTCGTTATGACGACGCATTTAACATTGAGGTTAAGCTTTTCAGCTCTTTGGTAGGCATCTTCAAGTGCAAACATGGTTATTCTGAACCCATCTGAGCTCGAGCAACGTACTGGAACAATTTCTACTCCAGTTCTCCATTTAAGATCCCTGTCAAACAAGGAACAAATTGTAAATAAATTATTACAATTTATCAACAATATTTTTAATTCAGTGCAGATATACGCACAGAAATATATATTTGAACTTACCCAGGGTAGTATGGTGTGGGAAGAAGGATAGCTTCACCAGGATCCGCGAGGCAAAAGATTAAAGTCTCGTTAGCTGAAGTTGCACCAGCGGCAAGCACCAGGTTGTTGGGATCGAACTTAACCCTGTTTCCTCTCATTTTCGCCATGTAGTCAACAAGTTTCTGTACAAGTAAGTTGACCATGTTGTCAATAGCTTGAGTTTGAAATGATTTCGGAATTAAGTATATATAGGAAGGATTAGTTTCATTATGTTTAGCAAAGGAGTATAATTACATTTTTGAAGGCAGGCAAGCCGTGATTTCTTGGAAGAGAGCTGCTTCCCTGAATAAAGATTCTCCATCCTTGTTCAGTTCCATGGGGTCCGGAATTTTTCTTAGCCATGATTCGACCAGGTCCAATGAAAGCTGATTATACAAACTATAAATTTAGTATATGCACTGTCCTAGTTTAAAAATGGAAATGCTTAAATGAATAAGAAAGGTTGTGGTTGGTCTTGAAAGGATAGGAAAAACGAAAGAAAATAAGTTTGATCAAAATTTCTTACGTACTTTGGGATTATCAGGAATTATCAGTGGAGTTAATCACCTGATTCTCAGCAAGCCCCATCTGAATGATTCCTGTTGGATTTTCAACCTGATCAAAGGGGCTTTTCTCATAAAATTGCCATCCATGGAAGTAGGCAGAATCTTGTCCAATAGAATTGTCGCTAGCCTTGCTAGACGTCATCGTTACAGCACCTTAAAATCAGCTTTTCTTGCTGGGTTTTGTTTAGTTTAGTTTTTGTGCGTGGGGGTGGAACAAAGTGGGAACTGCAGATCTTTGATGCTTTTGAGGTTTGCAAAGAGATCAATGATCAAAATGGGCATTTATAGGAATGAGAAGATTATGTTTTGGCCCCGACCAAAATGAGTATTTCTGAAATCGACGGTGCTGATTCTTTTGACCAACTATACTCACTCGATGGTACTGTTATTGTTGAGCAGCCACGTACACAGTTTCCTTCAATTCTGTTTGATTTTCCTTCTTTTTAATGATTTACCAAATTTTGTCTAATATCTCGTGTTATTGTTCAAAATTAAAAAGAAAACATTAATTAAATCATATGGAAATCGATAAGGAACATAATGTAATTCATGATCTTTAAGAAATAATTAACTAATAAATGGATACAAGTAAATTCCATTCGTTAATAGCAAATTTTATATTTGGTGAAAATACCTATAAGATCCTTCTATTTTAGTTCATTTATCATTAAATAAATCAATTTAACTTTTCTATTGTAGAGATTGATTCAGATTAATCTATCTACCTAGAAATCGGTTAAATTAATCCTCTTGTTATTAAATGAATCAATGTAATTATTGTACTAGTGAAAATAATGTAATAAGTCCAACTTTTCAAAACTAACGTTTACTATTTATAGCACGGACCAAGCAATCTCAGTAGTAAAAGAAGTGTTATTTTTTTAGATCTTAGATTCGAGCACCCTAAATACCAAAGGTTTTTTTAGAGTCTCTTTAAAATGATAGTCTTGTAATTATCTTAAATTAATAAAAAAACATTTATCATTTATAAAATACCAATTATTTTTTAAAAAGATTACTATGTTCAAAACTTTTATGGTTATGCAAAAAAAATCTTCACAAGCAAGTCATTGCTAACCTTAGTCATTTTTTTAATTAATCAATTGATATTTGATCTATTGACCGACTAATTTAGATCGGGTACTACAGAGACAAGGGTGACCCCCTCAATCTAGTTTAATTACTCTATTTGTAAACATCAAGATTCAAACCCTGACTTTACTTGAGAAATTTAGAGCCTCATCCCACTAGACTAAGTGGTTGTTGGTGCTAACCTCACTCATTTAATTACTCATAAATGATTTTAAGAATCCATCAAGTGCTCTCAATAAAAAACAGAACGTTATTTTCTTCATAAATTTTATGTTCGAGCAATTAAGTCTGCAAATGATGGGTAACGGCGTAAAACACATGAGATAACTCGTGAGTTATTCGAATTTAGTTCGATTACAATTTGATTAATATTTGAATTAAATGGACTTGACTTAACAAGTTGAAATGAGTTACTTAATACCCGACTTAAATCTAAATATTTTTAACCAAAACTTAAAACTATCAGCTGCACTATGTAACCGCAACATAGTGAAATAGAAATTACCATGTAAACAAATCAGCGGTATGACCTTAAGTGAAAAATTTGGCAATTCGGAGTATATGAGCTCTTTTCTGCGGCACTACTGAACTTCTTGGCCGCTGCTTCATTTTCTTCTAAGCTCGTCTGGACAAAGTATCGTGCCCACCATGTCGAGCTCCTCAGCTTAGCCTTCAAATATCAAGAATCACTTCAGCATGTCACATTTAGTTCAGCTATGTCAAAAATCACTTATAGATAAGGGGAAGAAAATTAAATCTCATAATTTAAGACAGGGTAACATCTTTCTTAGGCTTCACATTTTAGTTTATGACAAGCTCCAAGATTACAGAAATAGAACATCGAAGAACTGCTCAGCAAGAAAAGAAAACAAAGAAACTGAAAAACGAAATACCACTCTATCCGAGCGATGAACAAATCATGTCAGCCATCGGCCAAACATTTCTTTCCCTTAAAATATACTGGAATTTGGTCGACTGTTAACCTATTGACCAGATTTTCTAGTTGATTGAAGTGTGCATTCTAAGTCACTAAGTTTGCAAAATTACTACTGAATTTCCTACTTGAAGACATTCATTCAAGAGGCCTATCCAACAGTAACTGATTAAGATAGTAACAACCACTTACCGCCCTTCCATATTTGGACACATCTGCAGCTTTAGCTTTCCGCTGACCTGGAAAACCTACATTTGTAACAATCATAAAAGTTCTTGGTATGTCAAAAGGGCTCAGATTATATCTTTGTAATCAGCTATTACACGTTAGTCTAATGCATTTTTTTTTTCATAACACAAACAGGACAATGATCTATGAAAAGTGCAACATGGAGAAGAATCCGGTCATTATGACATAGATACATCTTAAAATGAAAGGAATGAGTAAAGATTGGCAGTAGATCTTAACAAAGAATCAATCATAAGTAGAAATAAAAAGCTAAATTTAACAAAGAGTAGGAAACCAAGTGGTTGAAACCATCAGCAACCAAAAAAGGATCATTATGAGAGAGGCAAGCACATATGACTTGCAAGTTTAGGGCCAAAATAAAACTTAAGCTTCTTTCACCTGTAAATACTACGACTCCATCAGCCGATACCCGTGCAAAATCTGGAAGTGTCTTGTTTAGATATCTTGGAGACAAGTAATCTAATGCATCTGAAACAATTACAAGAGGAAATGACTTTGGCCTGTATGGAAGAGGAAACTTGATGTCAGCTACACGCACAATGCCATTACGCACTAGCCTTTTGCAGTTAGCATCAGCATCCTCAATGTCATACGGTTCCACACCCCAAGCTTCAGTTTCCTCTTCTTTCAACAAATTCGCAATCACCGAACAAGAATCAGGACCAACATGCAAAACTTTATGTATGCCGCCACCATATGCTTTCTTCAGAACAGGTAGCGCCCGTAGAACCTCAAATGTGCAAGAAAAGTCACCTGCAAACGAAGATCAAATCCTATCTTATAACCGAAATTAGCTAATATAATAGCGCATCCAAAAGCACTAGTAAATGATGTCTCAGATGAAACATATCATTAAGATTCCACATCTATAAACAGATCCTCACGCAATTCACTGAAAATATGAAGCAATATCATATTTTTTAAATTACATTACTTTTTAAAAAAATAAGTTTTACCTTCCACTCGGGAAACAAGGTTCTTTAAGGCGGATCCTGAAAGGGAAAAAGTTATTACACGTCAGCTTCGAAACATTAAACATTAAGTACATATTATTATATTAAGTGACTAATCAATGCTTAATTAATGAACCTAATCAGAAAATCAAACCTGATCCGCTATGGAAATACGCAACAATTAGCAATACTCCCTGAAAATTATAATAATTAATGAAAAATACGAAACTTATAGAAAAATAAATTAAAAATATATATTTTAAGGGGAAAAATACCAGGATAGTGAGAATAATGGAGAGAAAAGGAGGAGAACGAGGCTTGGAAAGAGAAAAGAGAGCAGCTCCGCCGCCGGCGTCGCCATAACGTCTAGAGGGATTCACTGGCCTCCTCGACATACCTATTAATTTAGGTTATGATTTTGTGTGATTTTTTTCGTTCCTGCTTTAAAACTATTCTGATTAAAACCAATAAAATAAAGAAAATCAAATTGCAAAAAAGTTAAATGATTTCAGTATGGTTAATTAAATTAATTGCATTTTCTGAAGTGTAGATCCGAGAGATAAGAGACTGAAGGACACGTATATCTGTGCGGGAATAGCCAGACTCGGATCTCGGTAAAAGGCGCGTATGTATTGGCGCGTGATTTCCCAGTCCAACGGTCTTGATTCCTAAACGGGAAAACTAAGCATTGTAGTCGGGCCCAAATCAGCCTGATTTGGGCTCAACTCAACCCATTAGATGAATGACACGTGCACCTTGCCGCGAAGTTGATCGAGTTTCTGAACTCTTTATTGGGTATTAGAAACATAATCAAATACAAATTACAACGGCGGTGAAATGAAGGAAAAAAATATTTTTCTGCATAAAATTAAAAGAAAAATAAAATAGAGGAAAGGAGCGGAAGAAACCCTAACAATGCGATTAGGGTTTGGGTTTGGGATTAAAATTGAATTCAAGCGAAGCGGTTTTGAAAATTCGATCATTGGAATTGGGGAATCGATAACAATGGGAGGCGAAGACGCTGAGAGTGATAAGATTAAGCACTGTTCGTCTCAAAACAAAGCTTATAAAGAAAAAGGAGAAGACCCCAAACTTTGGGGAATTCTCCTCTTTGGTTTAATTGGCGCCACTGCCACTACTGTAGCTGTAAGTTCTTCTTTTAATGTTTCAACCTTTTAGTTAATCGATTTAGTATTTTATCGTATGGTAAAATAAGCTGAGGTTTTTGGATACCTTAAATTTAATTTAAGAAGAAAGGTTCCGTTTTATTTCTGGAGAATGGAAACAATTGATGCTGCTAAAGTTTCTCTTGGTCTGAGAAAGGTATTTGTTAGAATTTCCCTTTGATTGTAGTTGCAATTTGGCAGGTTAGTCAGCTGAGGAGGTCTGTTGATTGGGTATTTTCTCAGGTATACAAAAAAGTTCTTTCACAGTTCAGCTATAGAGGACTGCCTGCTACTATACCTTGATATGGTGGTCTTCTTGAGGGGAAATCTTGGCTTATAATACTTTGCTGTCAGTAACTTCATTGTTTTCTTAAAGGGAATGGTGGAAGGAAATCTTTTTTCTTGGAAAGTTTCAATTGTTTTCTACGAAAATTGCTTTTGTAAGTATAAATTGATTTAAAGACTAAGATTTAGTTCTATAGCTTATTTGAAACCAACATTATTGCTTTGATACTGTGACAGCTGCCATTGTGTTTGATTGCTGTATTGTTGAACTACTGTATGGATCTATCGTGTCTATCTTTATGCCTCAAAATAGTTGAGTATAGCATTTCTTATTTCTCGTTTCGTATTCACCAATCTGATCATGTGTGTGATTGCACCGTGAAAGTTAGCCAGGTCACAATCATCTCAGAGAGGAGGTTCTTTTCGAACATCCTTCCAGGAGGAATCACGGAGAAGGTATAATCGTCGAATGCAAGAAGAGTATGAGGAAGAAATGGAGAGAGTGGTAAGTTTTGGTTTAGTTGTAGGCGTAGCATTCTCTATATCTTACTACCATATTACTTCCAAGAGGTCTTGAGACATGGTTTCCAAAGCATTAGTTTAGGTTGTTTTAAACTTGTAATTGTTATAGGCACTTGTATACAAACTTTGAAGAGAGTGATAAGCTGTAACATTTAGCATTTGATGATGATGAAAACTTGTATCATGGGAAATTTTGAATCTATGGGTGATGTACCCAAGCTTCATGTGGGTATTTTGTGGCATGATTCTTAAGGAAGTTATCTATAATGTTTTTTCTCCTTTTTGTAAGTTTGTGTTTTGGTAAATTGGAATAGATACCTAGAGAGAATATAAGTTGGGTGGACTGCCAATCTTGTGTGTAAAAATCATTTGTCTTCTTTTAACACAGATAACCACATTTATTTAGGCCTTACTATTCCTAGTCCTTAATATTTTCTAACAATTTCAAAGCAAAACCACATTCTATTTATGCCTTACTATTCCTAGTCCTTAATATTTTATAACAATTTCAAAAACAAAACCAAATTCTATTTAGGCCTTACTATTCCTAGTCCTTAATATTTTGTAACAATTTCAAAAGCTGGGGTGCTGACCGTTTAGCCATGTTCATAGTGATTTCCTTTTTGGTATACCATTGGGATATAATCTTATTGTTAAGTAATTTCTGCTTCTCTTTGTAGGAGCGAATAAAGCGCATGCAAAGTGTGTTTAACAGGGAGCGAAATAAGTACAAAAGGAGCTATGAGAGCTGGAGGGAGTATGGTCCTGGTCCTTATCACCAGCACTCCCAGCGAGATGACTGGTATTGGAAGGCTTAAGCACAATATAGAGATGACTGGTATCGGAAGGCTGAAGGACAATATGGAGATCAAAGAACCAATTTCAGGCAACCCCAAAGATATAGTAGGAGCTATCAGTTATCACATCACTACTCAGTTTTAGGTCTTGACAGGTAATGCTCTGCTGTTACACAGGGTTTACAAATGGTCTTCCACCCTATCATTGTCAGGATCACCAAGAGCTCAATTGGGTATTCAGCAATAATATTTGACATTTCTGAACTTCCTTTTCTCCGCAGGTGCAGAACACAACCATATACAGAAGATGAAATTAAGGTATACTGAATTATATTTATAATACTTTTACGTTGCTGCTTTTGTTTTTATTTGAGGTATAATACATAATCTATTTCTCAAAACTGATAATTCAGTTTGATATAACAGTCATCGATTTTTATGCCGCGTGACATTTTCAATACATCTTTATCAAAAGTTGACGTGTTATAACTCTATCCAGTCTAATACCGCTCGTCTCAACCAGTTGATTCATAATCTTCTCAAGGTAGACTGATTGTTAGTCCATGTTAATGTCCATCGAATAACCATCTTAATTTATCAATTAACTATATTTTTTTAGACTAGGAAAACTGAAAGTCTAAACACGTGGATTCTTGTGTTTAAGCATAGTAATCACAAGATTGGACTGACTGCTTCATTGCACAGTTTGCTGGTCTCTGTCATTATCATCCATTTATAATTAGTTAGCTTATTCTTTTTGTTTTTTTTTTCAATCGAGTGATATCAGTCGACTTAATAGAAAAACCAAGATTATTATGATTTCTTGTCGTTGCTGGATTTCATACCATGCCCGTGAAGTTGCACTGAGATTTAAATTATGTGTCTGAAGGCCGCATTCAGGGCCAAAGCAAAACAATTCCACCCAGATCAGAACCAGGACAATAAAGGTGAGATGTGATGGACAGTTACTACTAAAAACTTGTAAAATTTGACAGCATTGATTTGGGGGTTTTAATTTTATTTAATGTTATATTCCCGGGACCTTGTGTTATATTTCAGAAGCTGCGGAGGCAAAATTCAAAGAAGTAATGACATCTTACGAAGCTATAAAGCTAGAAAGGAAGAACATGATGAGCGTATGAAAAAAACTGTTTGTTTCTCTGCAAGTGTTGGGAAATGAAGTTCAAGGATAGGGGAATGGGATGTACAAGATTCAAAACCCCATACTTGTACCTCGACTTCACAGTTGAAGAGTTCACAATCATCTGTCATCGATGCCGATCATTATTTTTTTCTCTTTGTTAATCTGAGTTTATACTGAGGTTGTATTTGTAGGTGGGCATTTAGTAAGAGATGAATAATTTGACTAAAAAACCCAAAATGTATACGAAGTAATCTTAAAGTTAATTTTATTTTCGTCAAGAAGTAGAATATATTTTCATTAAGCGCTGATCGATAGTATTATTGTAGTAAATTTTATGTGCTAAGCTTACGATTTTTTTTTCCTTCTTGTTTCTTCATTGAATGGGTTTTCAAAACACACGGTTCAGGAAATGAAACTCTTCCTAGTTCTAAATAGAAGTGGGAACTTGCCTGACAAAATTTTAAATATTAATATAATTAAATTATAATATATTAATTATTTAAAACAACTTTTTATATAACCGATTAATATTATATCATTTTGTACAAATAAGTAAATAAAAATAGGATAAATCATATGTTTAGTTCCTAAACTATTATTTTTGTTATGTTTTAGTAACTTCAATTTTTTTCAAAATAATACATAACGTTTACTTTAGATTTCATTTTAATACCCCACTGTTAAAAAACTTAACGGTGATGTTGACGTATCACTATCAGATCATGTCACGTCATCATTGGATAAAAAATTAAAAAATATCACGTTAGTAGTTCTGTTATTTTTTTATCGGTGGGGTATCAAATTGAAACTTAAACTAAACATTATGTATATTTTGAAGAAAAAAAATTATGTATTAAAATGGAACAAAAATAATAATTTAAGTACTAAAGGTATATTTTAGGTATAAAAATAACAAATAATGGTTTGAATAAAAGTATAATTGTAAATATCATGAATAAAATTATATTTCACCTCTGCTTCTAATAGAAAAGCATTGATCGATGTTTTTTTAAAAGAAAAGATAAAGTGTTGATCCATGGGGCAAATAATGCCAAATGTATGCTGACGTTGTATTGTATCAGGCAATCGGCCCAAATATAATGAGTAGAACAAAATTAAAGGATGCCATATGGAATCCGAATGTGCAGAGATAAGAGTAGTCAAATAAATACCTGAGATAGCTTCTGACCACATCTGTGCTGCTACGCCTACTATGATAAAACAAAATGGGGGAAGGATCTGCTATAACATGCCGTTTATCTGCTAATATGTGTTTATGGAGCTGCACAGTGCTTTGTAAAGTTGAATCTTAAAGCTATTGAATGATTTGAGTGTTGACATTTGGTTTTTTGGGCTTTTCAGTCTTTATCGATGTACGGGTCAATTTTGCCAAGTTTTCAAAAGGAAAACTGTTCGGTGATATGTCAAATCAAACATTTTTTTTAACAACAATTGTTTCAATCTTAATGATATGATACAATCTAATATTTGTTATAAAATTAATAGTATTATTAAAAATATAATATTTTAAACCATATCTAATCTAAAATACTATAATTTTTATAATATTTTTATCGTACTTATTTTCATATTTTTAATCTTAAAAGCGGACTATTATTTTTAGACTTTCACATTATATTTTGCTGTTAACAAGAGTACGAAATGAAGACTTCAACACAAATATTTGATAATTTTGTCCTCCATTATTTTTATTTTTCTAAATACATTTATGGGCAATATTTTTTTAAAGTAATATCATTTATCGAAATCATATCAATAACGTCTTGTTAATTACATATTGAACAAACACAGTCGACACTATCATAAAATCTTACAATGATCGTCTAGTGATAGTTTGATAAGCAAAAGTAAGAATAAATAAAGCAACGACGTATGTAAACTGATCCCACCAACCATAGAGGAAAAACTTGAAGAAAATCCAAAAACGACAAACATATAAGGCGATCTCCCTTGAAAGTCAATCATGACCATGGAAACATGTTGAAATAAAGACCAAGAAAAAAAAACCAATAAATAAACTTACACCGGAAGTTCATAAACACCAATTGTTAGGTATGGCTCATAAATGTACCATGTTTATATATTATAAATAGAGATGTAACTTAAACCTATGAGATATTAAATAAAACTTCTAGCGCCGCCTAGGCACTGAGAACGTAAACACATTGTTGAACCTTGTTAAAATTCTTGTGTTCTTTCATTTTTCTTTACCCGATTCTTCAACACTGATAATAGTGATACCCTTTACCATAAAAAACCAAGAGAAAACATTAATATTAAACTATGATAAAACTAAAATTGAAAATCGGTCAAAGTAAAATTAAACAGAGAAAAAGGTAAACAAAATGACATGGAAATGACCATAAACGTCCACCATCACTGCCCCAAAGATCTCGTAGATTTACTTGTAACTCCTGAACTGCCTAAGAGATTTATGGGCGATATTTGAATATGCTTAATATTAAAATTAAGTAAGCCAAAATAATGTATTAGTAAAATATTTAAGATTTAAATTATTCCTTATTAAGTGGTCTTAATGATTAAAAGAATCGTTAATTTTTCTTAAGATCACATATTTAAACAATTGTGTTTATAAAATATGTGTTGTTAATAATATAAAAATATCATGAATAGATATTATGTTGTAACCACTTGAAACTATTAAAAAAACAAAAATAAAGAAAGAAAGAACATAACTAATACAGATATTTAAATATTAATTTGTTGTAGGTAAAAGTAACTTACTCCGAATCATGGGTATGCAATTTCAAATATGTTTTTAAAAATTAAAGTGCATTTGGATAGTAAATATTCAATGGTTAATATTTATATATGTTACAAATAATAGTTTAAATATTTACATCGTATTAATAAAAAAATATTTAAATTAGAATTAGAATTAAATAAATGTCAAAAGTGTACATTATTTTTTGACAAAATGTATAATGTGAAGCATATTTTACTTTGGTGTAGTTATACACATAAAACTTTAATTTGTGATTTAATTGTACTTTTTAAAATATAAATTTATTTATTTATTTTCGTATTAAATACTATAACCATCCACGTATGTAATATGCAAATGTAAAAAAAATGTTATACAGAAATTTATTTTAATAAATTATAAAAACTAAATCAGATTAAAATTGTTTACATATAATCACACAAAATCGATATTTATATATCACATTCTACATTTCATCAAAACTCATATAGTTTTTTTATTTATCCCTTTTAGGAATAAAAAGAAAATATTAATATTTTGTGTATTATACAAATTTATCAACTAAACACTAAACTATTTATTCTTTATGTTTTTACAACTTATTTGAATCAAACAATATCAGTGATAAATGAATTATCATTATTTTTCACAGTTTCGGGTATACTGAAAAAAAGTAAATGGCACAAATCACAGTTACAAATTTTAATTTACAACTCAGACGTAAATTATAAAAATTCTCTTTAACCCTTAAATTACTTTATTATTTATTTCACATGCATACCACTAAAAAAGTAAATCGTATATAAGCAATAAGAGAGACGAAAGAATAATCAGAATATTTTAGAGAATAAATTTAAATAAAATGAAAAAGATAGATAACAGGAGCAAAACAAGGGGGCACACAAAGCTATAGAGTTTGCACGTTTTCATTAAATTATTGTTTTAATGACTAATTCAAACAATAAAATTAAAAAAATATTAAAAACCTAATAATCAATTCAACCGATCATCCTTGAATATTTAACAGATTTTTATTATTTTTAAAGTCTCGAGTACTACTATTATACAATGGTCGGTCAAGCCACGTAGGTAAAAAATCTAATAATTTGATTTAATGATTATAATATTATTTTAAAAATATAATTGTCGAAATATAAAATTATTTTATATCATTAAAAATAATATACTATTTGATTTGATTTATTTGATCAAAATATAAAATTATAATATTTAATTGATAAAATGTAAAATTATCTTTAAATGTATTTCATTAATTTATCTAAAATATATCTGCATATTATCTTCATGATAGATTTTCTAAAATAATATTAACCTTCAATTTTAATTTATAAGATAGTGGTATAAAAATTTATAAAAACTCATTTTATATAACTCTATTTAAATTTTATATTTTAACATAATAATACAATCAAAATATTAAATAATGTTAAAAAAATAAAAGTACATATTATTAGTACAATTAATATGTACATAGAATTATACACTAATGTATTATTTTATGTCACGCCTAATATTACTAAATTTACATATAAACAAATTAAATTGATAACTGTGAACAAATTGTTCTAACCAAATTAAAACAAGCATGGACGTTTATATAGGTATATGAACAATGTAATTTTAGGGTTTTGTTAGATTTTATATCTTTTATGTCAATAATATAATTTTGACCCTTGAATAAGAATACTAACCTTTTGAAAAAATTGATAATAATAATAATAATATAATTACAATTTATCTAATCTAAATCTAAGGAGTTTAGTAATTAAGGGATCTATTATTATCTCCTAAGGTTCTAGGTTTGAATGCCGCCAATACGAGAGTACGGGTGTTCATTATGGCTTAAAATTTTGAATAGATTATGATTTGTATTTATCTCTTGTTTCTAAAATTATACAATAACTATAATTAAATATTAATTTGTTTGTATATTAATGGAAACCTATTATGATTGCTAGGAATTCAGATTCTATTATTTAAAGAAATCCAACTCATTCAGTGCCTTTGAGTTATGGAACTTGTATATATATATATAATCTTAGATGATTATAAGATAATATATTTAATTTTTTTATTTTATTAATAATGGACCCATTTATTATACAAGCTTAATATGTTATATCAATAGTAAACACATACAATAATTTTGTGCGTTTATTTTTTCAGATTTGTTAATTAACACTATACAAAAATCATGGAATGAGGACGAATATGCCATATTCTAAATTTTTAATT